TGTGACATATGGTGGTGGCAGCATCATGCTGAGGGGATGCTTTTTAGTACTGTCCAAATACAAACAAAAGCTACAGCGTTTTGAAAACCATTCGTTCTCGCTCTTCACCGCCATAAATATGCCTTTTGTTGTGTTGGTTTATAACATAAAATCCAAATAAAATACACAGAGGTTTGTGGTTGTCGGGTAACAAAATGTTTAAAAGTTCAAGTGTTAAATACTTTGTGATTTAAAATAAAATTTCATGACTAACGTTATTGAATTCAAGTTCTCGGTTATGTACTTTTGGCATGAAATGGTCAAATGCAGTCTGACACAATATAAACCTATTAAAAACGGAATTATATCAACTTGATGCATTATTATTTTTAAACCAACAAGACAAAGCCAGCGCTATCTGGCTGGCAGCCGACCATCTGGTGTAATCTCACTCCGTCATGAAGCACCAACGGGCTACGGAGTGGAAAAGAAAGGAGATTTGATGGTTGTAGAAACTCCAGTGTTTAAAACTCTTGACATGATCTCCTTTTTTTTGGAGGTTTTGGCAGCAGTTATTTCCCAAGAAGTCCACAACGATGACGTTTGGTCCAGCAGAGATGTGAAGCCATGTTGAGGAGATAAAGTTTTTCCTCTACAAAAAAAGAATGCAAACAGTCCAAGTGTTAATTAATGGAGACTTCTTGATTCGGAACAGGGAGCAGCTGTGAATTTAGGCTGTACAAGCTAAAAAATGAAGAGGTCGACTGTCTCGTCTCTCTGGCGTGTATGAAACCTAAAATAATCCTTAAACAAGGACTAAAAAGCAGCAGGTGATCTGGATAAAAATAAAAAATAGATCAAAAACACTTTGATTAAAGATGTTTTAGAGATTCTGGAGTCCTCACAGATCATCTTTTCAAAATCTCTGGTATGAAGGTGCAAGTGTGATATAATGAGGTAAGAGGGGGATCAATAGGACAGAACTTCATAACTGTGAGGATGATGGATATACGATACTTTACCTATAAATCTATATAGTGTTTCTGTTTTTAACTTTATTATTTATAGGTTGTCAATTCATTTATACTTTTCTGATTTTACTTCGCCCTAAAATCCTCTAAATAATCCAATGGATCATCAAGCTTCAAGTGCTGTAGTGACTCGGAGTCATGAATATAAATATCTCTGTGCACATCAGTCGTCCTCGTCATCTTCCTCTTCGTCTTTGAGCTCCAGGTATTCCAGCCCTACGTCCTCGTCATCTTCCACCTGAGAGTCCCTGCTTAGTTCCCCTTCATCCACTAGCCCATCTTCCTCCTCCTCTTCCTCTGCCAGCAGCTCCTCCTCGTCTTCCTCCAGGACGTCCCTCTCCTCTTCGTAGGAGGAGATGGGAGAGTAGTGTGGGAGGTCCAGCACATGCGGGCTGCTGGGAGCGTCGGAGCTGCTGTTAGACGGCGAGGTGCCGGCACCTACGACGGGGATGGTGATGGGCACCGGGATGGAAAAGGAAGAAAACGCCTCCGGACTCTCACTGGCCTCCTTCACGTCTCTGCCACCGGTGCTGTCAGTCCGGCTGAGGCGGCTGGCGTTGTTGGCGGGATTGGAGGGAATGACGGCCATGCCCAGCCCCAAGGTGAGGGCGCCCGGTTCAGGCTGATACTCCCGGATCTCCCCCGGCTCCAGCGGCTCCGGACCACAGGGGTCATGCTCACTGCAGCACAGTTTCCCGTCCAGTTTGGAGATGAAGAGCAGCCCTTCGCGATGCTTGGAGCAGTAGGAACTGGGACACATCTCGCAGAAAGACGCCGCCTCCTTCCCGCATATGTCGCACTGATGCCAGGGACATTCCCAACGACCTTTTAGAAACAGACAAGAAAAACAAGCTCTCACTTTTCAAAAAACACCAATGCTCTAGGATTTTCTGCTAAATGCAGAATTCAGATAATAAAATGGAATTTATTAGAAAATATAAACTCTCATAGGATTTGCTTATTTGGGTTCTATATACCTCTGAGAGTTGGAAGAAGTAAAAAAAAAAACTATTTATTAGGAAATGTGAGCAAAGCATTAGTTTATGGCCTTTATGTTTCTTTATGAGACACTTTTATGTTCAGGACTTTTAAGGATACCATATAAAGAATGTTTTTGTTCTATATAAAATTGTGAGTAAATACGTTTACATATGTTGCAAAAGTATGTAATGTTCTGCTAAAATCAGATTGTTTTATATATATATGAAACATTTTGAATCTTAAAATAAAAATGGAAATAGTGGAATTTTGGGAAAGATAAAATGGATACGATACTGTTTAATGTTATTGCTGTTTGAAGATGTTGCGTTGTGCACGGCTCTACTAAGGGGGGCAATCACAGTGCATCAGAAAAGCAGAGGTTTGGACTTTGACAGGACCAGTACAAAAGATTTTCTTGTTTCTTCAGCCTTTGTGTTGTAAGTTTGATGCTGTTTCCAAAACTAGCTCCTATCACCACTCTTCCACCATCGTGCTCAACAACTGGTATGAGTTGTTGGGACTGATTTGCTTGTAGAAGCCTGAAGTGACTGACCTGCAGGCCTCTTGGTGAGGTTTAAGCAGTCTGCATGGTAGACTTTGGGACATCCTGGCTTCTTGCAGGAAACCATCTGGCCTCCGTCTCCACAGCTGAAACACTCATCCTCCCTCTCTTTGGTCAACACAGCCTTCTTCTTCCTCTTGCCATAGCCTCTCCTCCTCAGCTTTCGGCCTTTGTCTTCAGATGGAGGGTTGTTCTGTGTGGAGAGCATAGTGGATTCACATGTATTTCTGCACATATTATAGGAAGCTACCACATTTCCCCTCTGGTTACTCACCTTTGGCCTGACTCCCAGAAAGCCGCTACAATTTGGGGATCCGCATTTACACACAGTCTTCCCATTCCCCAGGCACTCCAGGTTATAGTTGAAGGTGAGTTCTGTGCCTGTAGAATAAATAAATCAAACATGTCAAACTTACACTGAAACCTCTACAGGGCATTAAATATACCGTACATCTTTATTTTAAATGTTGATTCTTCAATTTCCATTTTACTAATTTTAGAAGTGAAATAAAGAGGTGAACCTGCAGTGATGTCGACCAGAGCAAACAGTCCCACCCTTGTGTCCCCGCTAACTGTCCACTTCTGTGTCTCACAGTTCGGCTGGCAGCTATGGTTCATGAAGCGAGCCTCGTTTCCCTTTGGTCCGGCATCGATTATTCGGTCCTAAAGCACACAAACATTGCAGCTGTAGAAAATCTTTTGTTTTACCCATTTCAGAAACTCCATGTTCTTTGACTAAAGAAAAAAACTCTTACTTTTGAGTTGCTCTCCTTCAAAAAAAACACAAACAACATATAGACCCATTTATAGACCATGTCATCAGGAAGCTGCGCGTACAGCCTGGCAAGTATTACCTTATATAGTGTGGGCTGGTTATTTTCAGTGATGGGAGTAACGGCGTTGAAAGTAACAGCGTTACTAACGTATCTGATGGGGTTTATAGGCCCTTCCTGATATCATTTACGTTGAGTTGCAATAAATGCAAAACTCTCTGCAGGTTCTTGTCTTTGTCTATTCAGCTGGCTTTTGAAACACACAGCGACAAGGTGGGGGCCGGGTGGTGAGGGTAACGGGGGAGAGAAGCGCAAAAGTAACGCAATAGTTACTTTTACTTGTAACTAGTTACTTTTATTGTGGAGTAACTCAGTTTGTAACTCAGTTACTTTTTGGGGGAAGTAACTAGTAACTATAACTAATTACTTTTTCAAAGTAATGTGGCCAACACTGGTTATTTCTCAAACATTTAAGGAGGCATGAACATATCTAAGGCTAATATACAGCCATAGTTTAATACAGCTTAACATAGAGAAATAGAAGCTAATAAACAAACGTCTGTATCTGTGCACTTTATTGGCAAACAAACTGACCTAAATAGGTGATATTTAAGAACAGACCATGTACCATTCACAGTCATCTACGTGCTTGGTAAAGTTCCATCATGTAGCAGGTTACCTGAATGATTCACCTTTGTCTAAATGTATCCAGCATTAGAAAAATAAAACAACTCGTAAGAGTTGTTGAAGAGATATTAGCTAAGGCTTAGTTCAACAGCAGAGACCGTCTGGCCACTTATTGCTTTATTATATGGTTCCATCTGGTCATATGTAGGTCAGGTTACTTTGGTGGCCAATCATGCAATAGCTGCAGTCATATTCTGTATGTGGTGAATTTTGAATCCGTTATTCCAGCCACCGTCCATATCTAGTGACTCTGTCAGCTTTTGAATGGGCTCATCTAAAGATTGTGGCTTTTCAATTCAAAAATACTTTGATGTTCTCAAAGCAGAACTTTTAGTTTTGGTCAATTTAGGGTCCCCCCAGTGGAGAACATCTATATTGTTTTGCACGAAGGAAGACAACATTTCCCAGGAGCACCAGGGCATTGCATGGTAAAATCCTGAACTCTGAGCTGCTTGCTGTTGGATTGCACTACATTTCTGTTTCCAGTGGATGTGAAAGATGAATAGCAATGAGGTAACGAATCTCATCAGGGTGGAACGATAAGACTAGTACGAAAGTCGCATCAACTTCCGTCTTTATAACAAATGGGGAAAGGGGGAAATGAGATAGTAAAAAAAGAGTTTACTGAGGGTCCAAAGAGTTAATTCATGTTTTTTGTTGGTTTAATTTTATCTTACATAATATGTCGCTCTGCTGGTCAAACGTTAGCATCAAACACAAAAGGATATCCATATTTTTTCGTGTGTTTGTGTGTGCTCGCTGTCAAGGTTTCTCTCTTGACATCACCTAAACCAATGTCACATGAGGAAGCAAACAGATGAGTCCATGTATATAAAACCCCATTTCAAGTAACTCTTACACCATGATAAAAGATTCTTATGAAAAGTATCTTGAAATTCATTATATCTTAGACAGAGTTTGTCCATCAGCGAGTCCTCAGTGAGTCACTGGGAGAGGCAGTAATAATCTTCAAGCTACTTTTTGGAAGCGATGAATAAGCACAGAATATAGGCAGAATCGTCCCTCTGGGAAAGTGTAGTTGAACCCGACACCCTCTACTTGGGTCGGATCCCCTCCAGGAGTCCAAATACTTTTAGCTGGAACCATTCAACCTTACACTAGAGCTTAAGCTCTTAACCTGCCAATGAGGTGCCATTCCATTTCCCTAAAGCCAGATTGTGTCACTAGGAATTAAGCAAAGGAAACCACCTAACTTGGATGGAACCTCTCTGCATCTGATGGCCCTTTAAAAAAGGGGTTTCCTGTAACTCCTTTGAACTGGATCTCAGAAGCCAAAGTTCAGTCAGCAGGCGCTCACAGGCGAGCTCCCAAGAAGGTGTCATGATCAAACTAATCAGGGTTCCCCATGTCTTCTTGTAGGCCATTTCGATAGAAATCTTGAATTGCTCCAAGTCTGATCCCTCCTCTGAGGCCAATTTGTCATGGGAAACCCTACCAGGGGCTAACCTCTGGATCATATGGATGCACAAACCCTCAGTCCCACAAACACAATGGAGGGTGATGTTTACATCAACAGAAATTAATACAGTTTCTAAAGAGGATGATCCAATGGCCACATTGGTAACACTGCAATGTCCTGGACTAAATCCATGCATCCCCCTGCTGAATAAGGAACAGCCCTATCTTACTTTGGCTAGTTAACCAGGTAATGTTGTCAGATCAAACCAAATTTTGACGTATGGTAAACTACATAGACATCAAAACTAAACTTTAATGTTTGGTTTATAAAAATCCACCACCTTTTTCAGTTTTAACTGCACTTATTTCAGGGTTTGCTCCTTGTTGTAAGTGATTAATCTTACTAAAAGCTCATGATCATCTCTTTTATTGTTTATTAAGCCTGGAAGGTAAGCAATACATTATCATTAGTATTAGTGTTAATTTGTGTCATAAAGTGTACCTTGTCCAGAGTTAACATGTAGAAGTTACAAATGTCATTCTCCTGGGCGTGTCTGATCCTTGACCTGCACTCCTCTTCGCCAATCACCTCCCCAACGTATTCCGTCACAAACTGACCCTGATAGAAAGAAGAGGTCAAGATTTATTACTAACTAACTGGTGTAAATAGTCATGAACAGCCTCAATAAATGAACTAAACCTACCTTTTTAATATCGTGGACACAGCGGAGCCCCCAACCACGAGAAAGCGTCCTGAAGATCTCCACCTGGCTGTACTGACGCTTGGTGAAGGCCTGATTGAGGCACCTCTCACCGGCTGGGCAAACCTAAAAGTTGGGTTAAACTTTTTTATATCTTTTTAAGTCTTTTTTTTTTTTATTTAAAATATCAAAACAGAAATTACATTGATCAGGGCTGTATTATTATATGCAAAGTCACACTCATTCTTTTGATTTTAAGAGGAATACTGTTTTGAAAATAAAGGTCTGATGTTGGTGTGGTACCTGAGGATGGCACTCGTACAGCAACATGCGGTTAATGCACTCCGAGTCCATCCCACACGGACTCTCATCCGTCGCCTTGCAGTTGCATCGTGGGATCTCTGATAGGTCGGCAGTTAAGATCTGAACTTTTCCAATTGGACGATTCACCTTCACAAGTCAGATGTCTAATGTTAGTCACAAAAGCTCTTAAGACACTTATCTAGTTAGTGATCTTTTCTTTGCTAACATGCTCATGATCAATTACCCGTGGTTCTCTAATGCTATTGTTCAAATACCTGAATTCAGTAGATCAAAAAGGAAAGACCTTCTGTCTTTAGATTCTTTACATAACATTCATTATCTGGATTGTTATTTTAGGTAAATTTGCCAAGATAAAGACAACAGTGTTTCATTTATTTACTATTACATATTTGCCTAATCCACAAAATAAGTAATAACAGATCAGTTGCATTCACTAGTTTAGCCTTAGCATCCCTAAAGATTAACAGCATTAACATTTGCATGCAAAAACAGCATAAGATTCATTTAAGTATATATTTGTTTTATATCTACTGCAATTAGATTTTATACATTATATGACTTGGCATGCAAAAAAAAAAAAAGTATTGGTAAAAGTTAGCATACAAAAACAGTAGAAATAAAATAGCATATGGTAGCATAGCACATGTAAGATAATTAGTAGCACAGCAGAAGCACTTAGCCTCACGTTAACATTCGATTAGCATGCTAAAAGAAAAAGAGGTAGCAAAGAACCGGTATAAAAAAAGAGTAAGGGGCTAAGCCGAAAAGATAAGTAGCGCACCACAAAATTAGTTACTTAACAGTTATTTGATTTCCTTTTGGAAATTATAAAGTATTTTTGAAACTAATTTGAATTGAATTACACACATTGTTGCCAAAAATTGGCATAGTTACAAAGAAATAGCATACATTATCACGCTAACACAACTCTAGCCTAGTGTTAACATATAAAAAAGGCTGTAATGGTGAGTAACTTTCAATGTTTTAATGAGGCTATAGGTAAGTTATGTATAAAACATCTATTTAGCAGATTAGCTACTAGTTAATTAGCCATATGTTACATTTTTTTAAGCCAGCTGTTTGCTGCTTAAATCATTTTTTATATTCTTTCATGAAAACAGGGGTATGCATTTTAGCAAAAATAGTACTGTTGCTTTATAAAAAAAATACATATAAATGTTTTATGGACCATTGTTAAACAGTGCTTGCCTGCCCCCACTTGTTGCTGTCAGCTGGCTGAAAGGAGGATACTCCAAGTTCCATTTAATTGTAAGAAAAACAGATTTGAATTTTGGAAATATTCTGGGTACCAAAAAAAAAAAGACAAAAAAGAAAAAAACAAAGTGATGATGTCAAAGTTGAAGGAGTTCAGTTGCTTTTATGAAGGAAACCGTTTTAAAATGACACATGTCAAGTTCGAACTGCAGAGTGGCAACCTGAGCAGATAGTTTGACTAACGAGCCAGCTAAAGGTATCCTGCACTGTTCCGATCATAACTTTCATTTTATTTCATAAAAGAAATATTGGGGATTGAATACTACAGTGCAATAAAACTGATATTTTTACACCATTTTGGATCTCATACTTTGTTATAACAGTGCTGTTGATGTCCTCTGCAGACTTAAACACAAGTATTTTTCTGACCTTAATGTGTTTGTAAGGTGGCGGTTTTCTGTAATTCTTCTTGTCCTCTTGAAGTTGCCGAAGTTCCTTTTCTGTCTGCAGTTCACGGAATCGCACAGCTGCCTCCTCCAAAGCTGAAAATGAAAATCAACGTTACAAATTCAACAATTATAAATGCTGAATAAGTCATGTGTTTCAGAATCTGCACAAAAAGCATTCCCACCTTTCTTGTATGTTGCATCAACACCCTTTCCCATCTTTTCTTTGCTGTTTGCGTCAACATCCATGTATGGGAACACCCTGGCCTGGTAGGTCCACAGGTAGTCGTTGGAGCCAAAGAAATGGACTGGAAATTCCCCCACATCGTGCCTCATCCGCTGGATGTTATCCGGGATGGTTTTAGGATGGCTAACCTCCGCAGGCCACCACCTAAGGTGAAAAAATCACATGAGGGGCAGAACATTAAATAAAACTCTGAAATTTGTTTGCTTTATGTTGTGTTCTTCATTTTATTCAATACATTACAGCCAATACAAGAAAACACCTTATTTAACAAAGCTGAAAATATTGCTATTGTAAACTAAACCTTAAACCAAAAACAAAATAAATAAATAATTTTAAGCACAAGCTCAGCTTAATATCACTTTAGAGTTTGAGGTCTATAAGAGCAGTAAGTAAGAATCATTAGACTAAACTGGTAAAAGAGTTAAATATCTACTGGTGACTGAACACTACATCCTGCATGCCTGAATAATCAAGCCAAGTTAAATACATTTCCAGTTTCAAGTAAGCCAATAGTATGGATCTTTTATCATCTGCAGTATAAAATGCTTGGAATAGATTGACTATGTCTTCACGGCAACAAAATAAATGTTGCAAAAGTTTGCTATAAAAGAAACACTCAAAAGCCAACGAAGTAACTAATTACATGTTAGTTTTAATGCCCTGAACTTCCATATCAATGCATTATTTTGCAACATATTTTTTTGTCGCCCACACTGTTTACATTTGATCACTGCTGAATTTTAAGAAATGAAAATGTCCAGAAAGCATAGGTCTAAGTCATGTTTTAACTCTCTTTTCGGGTCACTATTTTGCTGCCTTAATTTACCATTTGCAAAGGTGTCCTTATTGATGAGATATTCAGTACATATTAAAATTATAGTATCATGCTGTCAGATCTATGATGTGAACCCCCTGTACCTTTATATCTCAAAGATGCTCATCTGGAGTTAGATCTGGGGAAAGTAGAGCCTACTGGACGACCGTGAAACATTGTTTACGTGCCAGAAACCAGTTTGACGTTATTTGAGTTTTGTAACTTGGTGTTTCATCCTGTTAGAAGTACTCACTTAAACTGTCAACTGACAAATCATTAGTTTAGGTTTGTGGTCCAGTTGTTTTATTTGCTCTACTACCTGCTTTTATCTTTTTTTTTTTTATCATTAATTGATTTCATTCTGCTTTTATTTTGCATCTGTTTTACTGTTTAATTCAAGCAACCTAAAAAAGTGGGTGTATCCACACAAGTTCTAGTAAATAACTTTGTTGAAAAAAAACAAAAAAAACTTTAAGAAATATAACCACAGGCAGCAATTGTTGGTCCAAAGCTGTTAAAACCACATGATCAGGTTTCAGAAGCTTTGAGTCCTGTCACTAACCTGTAGCGGCCGACCTTCACCCACAGGATGTCCTTGTAGCGAGGCCTTTTCCCGGCCTTACAGTCGTTGCAGTACCAGCTGCCCTTGGGCATCTCAATGTTCAAACACTCTCTGTGAAATGCGGCTGGACATGACTCACAGCACAGAAGGCTTCCTCCTGATGGGTGGAGAGAAAAAACAGCCTTTTTAAACACCTTTCTGTTTAGAGATTGATAAGGTTTATATATTAAACTCACACAGCACATACTGTAAAAAAACAACAAATAGCTTCTGAGGAGAGACATTAAAGGTTCCACTTTTAAAAGTCTTCCATGTGACAACATTACTTAGACATTAGCTTAAAACATTTTTACGGTCACCGTGCAGATTAGGTCATAGGGAGCCAGTTTGTCTCAACTTTGCTCAGAAATGATCTCGCCCTGCCTCACATCCCTGCTCCTTGACCTGATAAAGTGGGCATGTTTTTTACTGAGCCAGAGGATAAACAATGTCTGAGCTAGGACAGCGATGGCCGCTTATTTTCCAGGACGGGAGGGGCTGCTGCAGAATTCAGCAGAATTCATGAGGATCACTCAGACATGCAGAATAAATCTAAGTACCAGCTTGTGCATGAGTCTAATAAAGAATTAGCATTATAACATAGACAAAAGCTTAAAAAGTTGATTTTGCATGATATAGACCTTCAGATGGCATCATTTTGAATAATAAAATAATTTGGGTCATTTTATTGCGCTGTACATTAGAAACAAAGCAACTGGTAAAATGTGTTAAAATCAGTACAAGGACAAAAAAAATCCCCAAAAAACAAGAGAAACACCACCAATCATTCTCTAGCAGCGCACTACAAAACAAGTTAAACCAAGAAGAAAGAAAAGAAGAAAAAAAATAACGTTTTTTATTATTATTATTACTGGTAGTGGGATGTAATTAAAATGTGCTTTTGAGTTAATAACAGGGTCCGTAATTAATTAATCACAAGTTTAATTGGAAAACGTATAAATCGACAAAATAAACTTTTCAATTCAAAAACTCTTTTGTTTCTCAGTTATGTAATAATCATATGAGGACAAATAGCACAAAGATTTCTACTATTTAATAGATTGTCATGATCTGCTCTGATAGCTGGCTAACGTTTTGAACTTTCCTACTGGCTGTCTCAGCTTGAATACTGGGTCCATCTGTTCCGCTTTACGACATCATTAAGGTGATTCAACCATCGGATTGGTTAAAAGTCATTTAGTTTTATTTAGAAACCTCTAATAAAATATTCTTTGAAAAACTCCTCTATAGAAGTGTGAACAATTATTGTAGCATGATGTGTTCCACAAATGGAATGAAATGAAAAATGGTAAAATAATTAAAGCAACAAGGCATGCAATATTTGCTGTAAAAAGAAGCAAAGTTTCTAATGCTGACCGAATTATGACAGTTCAGCTCTGCATAAAGCATTTTTTTAACAATTGCTATTCATTATTGAGCATTTAGTGCAAAAAGAACTGTCTTTAATTGGCTGGTTGGTGTGGTTCATTTACATATAGTTAAACAATGAGTGCAGAGAATTAAGGATTGTGCTAAGCGTGTGCAACAATGAAATGAAGAAGCACACCAGTTTGTGAGTTGAGCGCCTGGTCGACAAGTTTGAAGCGAAGGGGTGCAAGTTTGAACACTATATCGAGGCATGGTTTCAAACTTGTATACCACTTGTATAAGTGGAGCAACCCCTGTGATTCTACGTGTGTCAGATTAAGGTTCCTACTTGGGATTTCAGTATGTATATATGAAGATACAATTAATTGCATACATTTATTTTACGTGTTAAAGTGTTTCTGGTTAAATAATTGAAATGAACTTATCACAGTGCTAATTACATTGTTGTAACATTGTTCCACTTCCTGAATCGGGAAAAAAAGGGGCCTTACAGCTATTTATCCATATCATTCATGTTTCAACTCTACCTTAACCTTAAGTTTTGACCAAAAAGTAAAAATAGAATGTCATTACAGAAAATTTGTCATTACAGAACAACGGGACAAAACAAATTAAAAAGATGTAAAAAGAGAAGAAAAAAGCTTTTTATGAAATTACCACAAACTAAGCCAAAAACCAAAAAGTTTATAATAATAAAATAATGGAATATATGAGTGACCAAAAAAATTAAATGCAAAAAACTAAATAAAGAATGATAAACATCTTATGACAGAACAGTTCACTAAACTTTACTCATTCATTGATAGAGTGGCATGGAGTTTTTGAAAATTAATAAAGTAAAATAAGATTCTATTTCAATTTAAATAAATAGTTATGAGATAATATATGAAAAAATAAATGTAAGAAGAATGAAACAATGTAAAGAGATTGTACCTTCAGTGCACACAAAGCACCAGCTGACATTGACATGTTCGTGGTTCTTGACGCCTCGGCGGGGGGTGAAATGGTTGGGGCAGATGATGCTGTTATTGGAAAGCACAACGCTTCCCGCCGCCATGCACAGATCTGTGGCGTGATAGGCCACTGGGCAGCGAACACATCGCACCAGGCGACCTGCAGAGATGCACCAGAGCACAGGCGGTCAGCGCGGGGCCGCGGCCTGCATGTCAGCCACGCCTCATTCTTTGCTTACCTTTGGAGATGGACGAGCTGTTGGGGCTGGTGATGAAGCAGGTGAGGCAGACGTGGATGGAGCAGCGGAAACTTCGGTTCACTGGCGCGGTCGGGGCGTAGTTTGCAATACACTCTCCGTGGTAAAACTTCCCACACACAGGAATCATGCAGCGACGCACATCTTCGCTGCGCTTCTTACACACAAAGCAGGTGTGGATCCCTGAGCAGAATGGATAAAGTTTTTCTTTTTTTCTTTTAACATCAAATTCCAATGGGATTACAGGCCAACCCATCAGCTCAGGAAAACTGATCACAAAGACTACGACAATCCTGATATTCTTTAAGCAAATTTTTTTTATGCCTTTAAATGTTTTTTTTTTTTTTTTTTTTTTTATAAAACCCCTGTTCATCTATTCAGCTAATTATTATTTTCCTTTATCGTAATGTCACACTAGATTTTCACCCTGTGCCTGTAAAATATTTAAAAAAACTGTTGATTGAATCTACTTTCATCCCTAATAATCGTCACTGAAATGTCTAAAGCAGCTTCAGTTTTGTATAGTTTTACTTATCTAGCAGTTTAATGGGAGACTGTAGTTTCTGTAAAATAAGCCCAGAGGGGAGTGTGAATACCCACCATCATGTCTATTTAAGCTGCAACATTCATCTCATAAAGCACCGTGGATCAAATTGGAGTCTGTGACCCCCAGAGGGTCAGATTCAAGAACATTTCTGAGCTGACATACAGTTTTCACACATTGACCATTTTTAAGCCTAAGTTACTCTCAATGCTGTGTCCGGTGCCCTGTTGCTCAAAAAAGCCAGAACTCACCATGGCAACAAGTGACTTGACATCTCCTGCACTTGTAGTTTGGCTAACCGAAAGGTGATGTTTGACTTTCTTACCACCTTAAAGTCGTAGGGAAACGGCTGTTCCAACTTTTGCATTTCGGAATTCTCCCCAGTGGTGCACGACTTTACATGAGGGAATAAAGTGAATGTGATTGGTTGTTTATCAAGAGGGCAGGATTGTTGTGGCAGAAGATTTGCAAGCAAGGGATGTGTTTAGTTGTGGCCGGTTTGTCGGAAGCATCTTGCTAACCAGTTAGCAACTTAGTGCTAGTAGGTTCCCAATGGGAAATTACATTGGGACCAAGTAGCACTAAACTGGTGACTTAGAAACGACACTGTCAAGGAACACTATGGACAGCAGAAACATGCAAGAGGAGGAGAGTTTTGTGTCGGGGGCCGTGGATCAGTCTCCTCTTTCATGATTTTTTTATTTAGAGGAGGAAAGCGGGGACGAAGTTGTTTTGGAAGAGGACACCAGGGCGGCAGAAGCTTGGTTTGGTGTAGAAGGCTTACAGCCGTACATGTTTGAGCCCTTGCCTCGCAACGCTGCCAGTTCTGTTAGCTCTACACCTGCCGAAGACTCAGCTTTCATCCCCGTGAACACTGGGACGGAACTCAATGGTAAAGTGAATGATTCTTATTTCAACCGTTGCGTATATTAGCTGCGACATATGAATCAAGATACTATGACCGAAAAAATTTGATTGGCAGATGACCGTTGATATATGATTGGACAAATTTAGGTGTACAACCTGACGTATAACTAACTCGCCTGCATAAGAATTTAAATATGACTTCCCTACGACTTTAAAACTATGGTTGGTGTTGTTGGAGAACAAGCAAGATTGGAAAGCGGCACTCCCCTTCCACCCTCTGGTCAAGGCTACGCCTCCCCTGCAAACTCAAACTTAGACGACTTTTACTGTCAACTTGTAAACACAGAGCTTTGTATACACAGCTTTCACACAGTAAATGAGGAGCAGCTTAGCAGTGAAATGAACATTTCTATTTCATAAAGTGCAGTAGAGATCAAATGTAAACAGGAGAAAAATATGGTGTAAAACGTATTGATGTGGAAGTTCAGAGCAGTGGAAACACGCATCTCACAGCAGAACTTGGCAAAGCAAAATCGACTCAGCGATTTCTTTCAATATATTTTGGACTTCAGCCTAATTACCTTATGTCTGATTTGGCTATAAAAAATATATTATTATTGTGGCCTTCAGGGTATCATGCTAGGATTAGCAATAATAACCATACAAGTTTTAGCATGTTACTTTTAGGAATACTAACATCACGAGTTTTGGGAAGGCATGTTGTTAATAATTCTGGCAACGGCTGAACCATGAGAATTCACGCGGTTGTGGAGGGACAGAGATGAATGCATATGATTGTTTTTTTCCATTCCAACCAAATGGCAGAGATTGGTCATAGTTTTTAGAGGCTTTCAGCTCCCACAGAAGTCTGATTTGTTACATTCCTTTTTCTGAATACGTCACGTACTGACCACCCTCAGGATGGAGGGACCATTTCACTCAATATAACAAAAAGTGTTTCTGAATAGAATAAC